TACTATAGACTATACTATAGACTAGACTATAGACTAGACTATAGACTAGACTATATACTAGACTATAGACTAGACTATAGACTAGACTATAGACTAGACTATAGACTAGACTATAGACTAGACTATAGACTAGACTATAGACTAGACTATAGACTAGGCTATAGACTAGACTATAGACTATACTATAGACTATACTATAGACTAGACTATAGACTATACTATAGACTAGACTACAGACTATACTATAGACTAGACTTTACACTAGACTATAGACTAGACTATAGACTAGACTATAGACTAGACTATAGACTAGACTATAGACTAGACTATAGACTATAGACTAGACTACAGACTAGACTATAGACTAGTCTATAGACTAGTCTATAGACTAGGCTATAGACTAGACTATAGACTAGGCTATAGACTAGACTATAGACTAGGCTATAGACTAGACTATAGACTAGACTAGACTAGACTATAGACTAGACTATAGACTAGACTATAGACTAGACTATAGACTAGACTATAGACTAGACTATAGACTAGACTATAGACTAGACTATAGACTAGACTATAGACTAGACTATAGACTAGACTATAGACTAGACTATAGACTAGACTACAGACTAGACTATAGACTAGTCTATAGACTAGACTATAGACTAGGCTATAGACTAGACTATAGACTAGACTATAGACTAAACTATAGACTAGACTATAGACTAGACTATAGACTAGACTATGGACTAGACTATAGACTAGACTATAGACTAGACTATAGACTAGACTATAGACTAGACTATAGACTAGACTATAGACTAGACTATAGACTAGACTATAGACTAGACTATAGACTAGACTATAGACTAGACTATAGACTAGACTATAGACTAGACTATAGACTAGACAATAGACTAGACTATATTCTAGATTATTGCATTGTACAAAGCGTACTTACTTCAAAGCTTTAGTGAATTTAACACATGCATAGAGCTAAAAAATTTAGTTTCCAGCATATTTATTATGTTGTTGTGTTTGTTGTATTCTTGCCAATTTATTTCTGAACTGGATTTCGAAGCCCAAGTTGTAGGATGAACAAATTGATCTGTCAATCAAGGAAAGAAAAAAATACGGAACAATTTGGTGGTGGTGGTGGTAAAGCTACTCCAAACATTAGCTAACAATTCCTTTTAGAGAATGTGTATATGTGTTTGTTTTTGGTGGGCAATTTATATTGTGTTTTTTTGCTTGTTTGGTGAAAAAATTGCACATACATGTTTTTATTAAAGTGAGACACTGAGAGAAATTTTGGTTAAAGCGTTTTGCTGATTTGAGGCGTAAATTTTAGAACCATATAAAGCATTTGAGACTTTATTATTTAAGTAGAGTTTGTTTAGTTTGTATATCATTTAAGTTTTCTTAGTGTATTTTTTTTTAATTTTTTGCTTACTACGCTAACAAATAAGCTTTAATTTTTTAAAGGTCCCCTCCCATTCCAGTATCTGCTGTTAGATGTTTAAACGAATTTAACACACATTCTGTTGTTCTTCTTTAGGTGACATTGAAGAATATTTATTAATAAAAGCAACAACGGCAACAAATATGTACTAAACAACAAATTGTTAAAAAAACAGCAAAATAAGTTTAAAAGAGGAAAATATTTTTTTGTTATAAAACCTGTAAATAAAAACATAAATTGATGGCAAAAAAAAAACAACAAAAAAATCGACTATCTAAGCAAAATCAACAAGAAAATTGTGTGAGCAAAATTTAGATTAATAAAAAAAAGTTGATGAGATTTTTTTTCCGGGGGAAAAATAGAAGAAAACGTTTAAAGTAAGACAAGGTTAAACACAATGGTTTTAAATTAAAGTCAGACCAGTTTCACTGCAGTTTCTACTCTTGATCTTAGAGCTTTTCTAGTTGAGCCAAAATCAAAGAGCTTTAAGCTTTAATAGTAACAACAGTTAAGCAAACATGAACATTGAACTTTAAGCTGTTCTTCTGTTGTAGATCTTAAATATTTCCCTTTAATAAAAATCAACTTCCTTAAAATCACCTCCATTAACTTTAATCCTTTTATCTATTATTTGTATCTTCTCTGTGGTTATTTTTAATATTCTTAACTCTCTTTAAAAGCAACTTTTCTATTTTTATATGCAAAAGTAAAATAAATTTCTCGTAATTTTCATTCTTAAGTATTTTCTGCTTAAATCACAAATTCGCCATAAAATTCCTGTTCATTTCTACTTTTACAACCATCATCCACCTTTAATTTATTCCCATTTATTTCTTTTATCTTTTTGTTTTCCTGAATTGCTGTTTTCAAGGAAAATTTCTTCGCTTTTTCATTTTGTGTGCAAAAAAAAAAAAAAAAAAAAAAAAAAACAAATGGTTGTATTAAAAATATTTCCACTCAGTTGAGTATGACAGTTAAAAATAAAAAAGCTGTGTAGTAAAAATAAATATGTTTAACTCAATGAAATTCTAGCAAATAAACTTAATGAATCTTCGCCGAAATTATATGTAACTGAAAATTACAGTGCGTTTTAATATTTGTCACATTGTTTGAAGTTAACATTTTTATATGTAGTAACTAGTTCAGTTCTAGTTCGGTGCTAGTTCAGTTCTAGTTCAGTTCTAGTTCAGTTCTAGTTCAGTTCTAAGTTCAGTTCTAGTTACAGTTCTAGTTCAGTTCTAGTTCAGTTCTAGTGTCAGTTCTAGTTTAGTTCTAGTTCAGTTCTAGTTCAGTTCTAGTTCAGTTCTAGTTAAGTTCTAGTTCAGTTCTAGTTCAGTTCTAGTTCAGTTCTTAGTTCAGTTCTTAGGTCAGTTCTAGTTCAAGTTCTAGTTCAGTTCTAGTTCAGTTCTAGTTCATCAGAGTTCCTAGTGTCAGTCTAGTTCAGTTCCTAGTTCAGTTCTAGTTCAGTTTCTAGTTCAGTTAGTTCTAGTTCAGTTCTAGTTCAGTTCTAGTTCAGTTCTAGTTCAGTTCTAGTTCAGTTCTAGTTCAGTTCTAGTTCAGTTCTAGTTCAGTTCTAGTTCAGTTCTAGTTCTAGTTCAGTTCTAGTTCAGTTCTAGTTCAGTTCTAGTGCAGTTCTAGTTCAGTTCTAGTTCAGTTCTAGTTCAGTTCTAGTTCAGTTCTAGTGCAGTTCTAGTTCAGTTCTAGTTCAGTTCTAGTTCAGTTCTAGTGCAGTTCTAGTTCAGTTCTAGTTCAGTTCTAGTTCAGTTCTAGTTCAGTTCTAGTTCAGTTCTAGTTCAGTTCTAGCTCAGTTCTAGTTCAGTTCTAGTTCAATTCTAGTTCAGTTCTTGTTCAGTTCTAGTTCAGTTTTATTTCAGTTCTAGTTCATTTCTAGTTTAGTTCTTGTTCATTTCAAGTTCAGTTCTATTTAAGTTCTAGTTCATTCTAGTTCAGTTCTAGTTCAGTTCTAGTTCAGTTCTAGTTCTAGTTCAGTTCTAGTTCAGTTCTAGTTCAGTTCTAGTTCAGTTCTAGTTCAGTTCTAGTTCAGTTCTAGTTCAGTTCTAGTTTCAGTTCTAGTTCAGTTCTAGTTCAGTTCTAGTTCAGTTCTAGTTCAGTTCTAGTTCAGTTCTAGTTCAGTTCTAGTTTCAGTTCTAGTTCAGTTCTAGTTCAGTTCTAGTTCAGTTCTAGTTCAGTTCTAGTTCAGTTCTAGTTCAGTTCTAGTTCAGTTCTAGTTCAGTTCTAGTTCAGTTCTAGTTCAGTTCTAGTTCAGTTCTAGTTCAGTTCTAGTTCAGTTCTAGTTCAGTTCTAGTTCAGTTCTAGTTCAGTTCTAGTTCAGTTCTAGTTCAGTTCTAGTTCAGTTCTAGTTCAGTTCTAGTTCAGTTCTAGTTCAGTTCTAGTTCAGTTCTAGTTCAGTTCTAGGTTCTAGTTCAGTTCTAGTTCTAGTTCAGTCTAGTTCTAGTTCAGTTCTAGTTCAGTTCTAGTTCTAGTTCAGTTCTAGTTCAGTTCTAGTTCAGTTCTAGTTCAGTTCTAGTTCAGTTCTAGTTCAGTTCTAGTTCAGTTCTAGTTCAGTTCTAGTTCAGTTCTAGTTCAGTTCTAGTTCAGTTCTAGTTCAGTTCTAGTTCAGTTCTAGTTCAGTTCTAGTTCAGTTCTAGTTCAGTTCTAGTTCATTCTAGTTCAGTTCTAGTTCAGTTCTAGTTCAGTTCTAGTTCAGTTCTAGTTCAGTTCTAGTTCAGTTCTAGTTCAGTTCTAGTTCAGTTCTAGTTCAGTTCTAGTTCAGTTCTAGTTCAGTTCTAGTTCAGTTCTAGTTCAGTTCAAGTCCAGTTCTAGTTTAGTTCTAGTTTAGTTCTAGTTCAGTTCTAGTTCAGTTCTAGTTCAGTTCTAGTTCAGTTCTAGTTCAGTTCTAGTTCAGTTCTAGTTCAGTTCTAGTTCAGTTCTAGTTCAGTTCTAGTTCAGTTCTAGTTCTTCTAGTTCAGTTCTAGTTCAGTTCTAGTTCAGTTCTAGTTCTAGTTCAGTTCTAGTTTCAGTTCTAGTTCAGTTCTAGTTCAGTTCTTGTTCAGTTCTAGTTCAGTTCTAGTTCAGTTCTAGTTCATTTCTAGTTCTGTTCTCGTTCTGGTCTAGTTTTAGTGTCCAATTTATTCTAATAATAATTTCTTCTGAAAAATCGTATTATTATTTATAATTTGTTTCTGTTTTTTAACAATTTTATGTCTAAAACTTTATGATTGTACAATATTATTTAATTTTTTTAATATCCATTTTTATTTACAGATTTCGTTATTAAATTCTAACAGACCAGGGTAAGTTTTTCATTTTGTACTATGATGATTATTTCGCTACAGTATTTGTATAATTTTTATGTTAAAATATTTATTTGCTTTCAAGAAATTTTTTATTCATTTTATTTGGAAAAAATGCATCATAAAATTTTTGTAAATTAAATTTTGTAGCAAAAAAAAAAAAAAAAAATGACGAGGGATTAACGAGTCGGGGAAGAAATTGTTTTTTATTGTTGGAAATAAAACTTTTTTTTTGTTTTTGCTTTCAGTTTTATTTAAGTAATACAATTAAAGACAGCAAAAATTATGTCGACAACAAAAAATTAAACAATATTTAAGAATAATAATGAATTCTAAAGAACATTTATATAATAATAAAGTTGTCGACAATTCCTATAAAATAATTTAGAAATAAGATTTTTTTAGTTTATTTACAAAAGTTTCAAAAATAATTTTTTCCAAAGTTTAAAATCCAAAGTTGAATCCATCTTCTTCTCAAAGCCTCATATTTCCTGATGTTTGCCACAGCGATGGACTCACACTGAGTGTATGATAAAAGAAAGCTGTCAAAAAAGAAGCGCTCACAACAAATGCCGCAAAGAAACCCAAACAAAATATACAATCCCTATTAACCTGTAAACATAAAAAGGTGGCCGTACAGAAATCTCCGATTACAGACCACAATCGCTGACACAAGGGAGCACGTCTTAGATCCATTGATGATGGCGTTGCATTGGCTTCTATAGTAATGATATTAAAGGGAGGTACAGAAGGCTCTCGAGTAACAACTACTGGTACCAATGGGCTTTGTTCTGGTTTATTCTCAACTAAAGGTTGATAGGTATTTTCCCGTTGTGGTTGGTAATCAAAACTGCAAGCATTTCTGCTTGAGCATAATTATTTAACGAATTTGGTTGTTCTGATCTACTATTTAAAGAGGAGACTTCCAACAAACTCAAATCATTCAAACTGATGTGATCGTGTGGCAGAAGTGTTTGAACATCCTAAACTCTTGAGCTCGCAACTACTGGTAGCCGTAGAAATGCTGCATACTTTAGGTACTTCATTTCCTTTGGAAACTGCAATAAGATTTTAAAATTATAAAATTGTCTCTATATTATGTACGTTTTAGTTTACCTGTTTCGTTAGCTCAATTTCCTGCTGCTTTAAAAATTCCTCATATTCCCGGCGCGCAACTACTTCAGCACTGCTAACGCTAGTGGATACAGAGCGCGGTTTGTTACTGCTGCCTACAAGAAAACGTTTTAGTGAACATCTTGCTCAAGAACTGAGATAGAACTGGACATAAAACTGTCATAGAACTGAACTAGAACTGAACTAGAACTGAAGTAGAACTAAAGTAGAACTGAACTAGAACTGAACTAGAACTGAAGTAGAACTGAACTAGAACTGAACTAGAACTGAACTAGAACTGAACTCAAACTGAACTAGAACTGAACTAGACTGAACTAGAACTGAACTAGAACTGAACTAGAACTGAACTAGAACTGAACTAGAACTGAACTAGAACTGAACTAGAACTAACTAAACTGAACTAGAACTGAACTAGAACTGAACTAGAACTGAACTTAGACTGAACTAGAACTGAACTAGAACTGAACTAGAACTGAACTAAACTGAACTAGAAATACTGAACTAGAACGGAACTAGAACTGAAGAAACTACTAACTAGAACTGAACTAGAACTGAACTAGAACTGAACTAGAACTGAACTAGAACTGAACTAGAACTGAACTAGAACTGAACTAGAACTGAACTAGAACTGAACTAGAACTGAACTAGAACTGAACTAGAACTGAACTAAATGAAGAACTGAACTAGAACTGAACTAGAACTGAACTAGAACTGAACTAGAACTGAACTAGAACTGAACTAGAACTGAACTAGAACTGAACTAGAACTGAACTAGAACTGAACCGAACTGAACTAGAACTGAACTAAAACTGAACTGAACTAGAACTGAACTAGGACTAACTATAACTGAACTAAACTGATCTAGAACTGAACTAGAACTGAACTAGAACTGAACTAGAACTGAACTAGAACTGAACTAGAACTGAACTAGAACTGAACTAGAACTGAACTAGAACTGAACTAGAACTGAACTAGAACTGAACTAGAACTGAACTAGAACTGAACTAGAACTGAACTAGAACTGAACTAGAACTGAACTAGAACTGAACTAGAACTGAACTAGAACTGAACTAGAACTGAACTAGAACTGAACTAGAACTGAACTAAACTGAACTAGAACTGAACTAGAACTGAACTAGAACTGAACTAGAACTGAACTAGAACTGAACTAGAACTGAACTAGAACTGAACTAGAACTGAACTAGAACTGAACTAGAACTGAACTAGAACTGAACTAGAACTGAACTAGAACTGAACTAGAACTGAACTAGAACTGAACTAGAACTGAACTAGAACTGAACTAGAACTAACTAGAACTGAACTAGAACTGAACTAGAACTGAACTAGAACTGAACTAGAACTGAACTAGAACTGACTAGAACTGAACTAGAACTGAACTAGAACTGAACTAGAACTGAACTAGAACTGAACTAGAACTGAACTAGAACTGAACTAGAACTGAACTAGAACTGAACTAGAACTGAACTAGAACTGAACTAGAACTGAACTAGAACTGAACTAGACTGAACTAGAACTGAACTAGAACTGAACTAGAACTGAACTAGAACTGAACTAGAACTGAACTAGAACTGAACTAGAACTGAACTAGAACTGAACTAGAACTGAACTAGAACTTAACTAGAACTGAACTAGAACTGAACTAGAACTAATTAGAACTGAACTAGAACTGAACTATAACTATCAGTGAGGTATACTATAGAAATTTACCCGTTTTATTCCGGCCCTCGTTGTAGTACTCCTCGTATCGACTTCGATGTCTTAAAGGTTCTTCTTGTTCCCCTTTCAAGGACAAGCTTTTCGGTCTTTTCCTTTTGCCACTGCCAGTAAACACTGACTTACTTGTGATAGGTTTGGCTGAAGATAATCTAAACTTTCCAAATTTTTGGTAAAATTATCAACATATCCATAATTTGTTGAAAACGTTGAGATATTTCCAGGTTCTCAACTGGTAACTCTATAATTTTGTGCTGCTGCGATTCATCCTTGTTGTCATCTTCTTTTTTAGTCTTGTTAAGCTCGTCTTTTATTATTAAAACTTCTTTTATAATTCCTCTTCGTATTTTCTTTTAATTTATAATTTTTCACTTCCTTTTCATCTTCAAATTTAACATTTTTCTTTCCTTAAGATTTGGACTTTCGGTTTCCGTAGATGTTGTATGACTACCCTCAAGTTGTATAAGCACTTCACCCCTATCATTGGTCACAACTGTGGGTGTTGAGAGGTCATTATCTGGGGATTGTAAAGGATCCATTTAAAAGTATAAAAAAAATTTTGTTTTTTTTTATTATGAAATATTTCTTTTATTAATGATGACAATTTATTACACTTAAAGAATTTTTTATAAAAAAAAATTATATTTAATTTAGTTTGAACTACGGACATCTGTAGAATTTATACAGTTATCACACGATTTATTAAAGTATTCTCTGCCTAAAGAGCTCTTTTAACCCCAGACTTTAAATAATCTTAAAATATATTTTATTAAGTGTGCAGGGCATTGTGGTAGCTTCCCCAAATTGTGAACTTTAAGCACCCCAGGAAAGCGATTCCTTTTTTCAATCCTTTCTTTAATATTGTGTGTATTTGTCGCAGCAAAAATCAATGCCTGCATAAATTATACGCTTAAAACTCACGCAGCAAGCAAGAAAGCAGTTGCACTAAAACACGCAAGTACTTTATCTTACTTTCAGATACATACAACCACGGATATGAATGTATGTATGTACTCGATACCAGTCATTTAACTTATATCCTTATATGTGTATGTATATTCTGGAGTTTCCTTTAATATTGTGCGAATTTTTGTTAGTTTTTATTTATTTTTGCAAAGTATTTTCTTTATAACTGTGTTCAATGCGTTTCCTTTTATGTTTGCCTTTTCTTTTTGGTAATGTAGTCGAAAGATAAGCTGAAGTTTCAATTTTGATATTTATTAAGATGCTTAAAAGAAAGATGTTTAAAATGAACTTTAAATATGAACAAAATATCCTTAAAATGGATTTGTAGCAAAAAGCCATATAAAATTCAATGAAAAAATATCAACATTTTAAATGGTTTTTTTAACAAAGTTGAATGTAGTTCTGTTCTAGTTCTGTTCTAGTTCCTGTTCTAGTACTAGTCTTAGTTCTGTTCTAGTTCTGTTCTAGTTCTTTTCTGTTCTAGTTCTGTTTCTAGTTCTGTTCTAGTTCTGTTCTAGTTCTGTTCTGTTCTAGTCTTTCAGTCTGTTCTAGTTTCTGTTCTAGTTCTGTTCTAGTTCTGTTCTAGTTCTGTTCTAGTTCTGTTCTAGTTCTGTTCTAGTTCTGTTCTAGTTCTGTTCTAGTTCTGTTCTAGTTCTGTTCTAGTTCTGTTCTAGTTCTTTCTAGTTCTATTCTAGTTCTGTTCTAGTTCTGTTCTAGTTCTGTTCTAGTTCTAGTTCTAGTTCTGTTCTAGTTCTGTTCTAGTTCTGTTCTAGTTCTGTTCTAGTTCTGTTCTAGTTCTGTTCTAGTTCTTCGTATCTAGTTCTGTTCTAGTTCTGTTCTAGTTCTGTTTCTAGTTCTGTTCTAGTTCTGTTCTAGTTCTGTTCTAGTTCTGTTCTAGTTCTGTTCTAGTTCTGTTCTAGTTCTGTTCTAGTTCTGTTCTAGTTCTGTTCTAGTTCTGTTCTAGTTCTGTTCTAGTTCTGTTCTAGTTCTGTTCTAGTTCTGTTCTAGTTCTGTTCTAGTTCTGTTCTAGTTCTGTTCTAGTTCTGTTCTAGTTCTGTTCTAGTTCTGTTCTAGTTCTGTTCTAGTTCTGTTCTAGTTCTGTTCTAGTTCTGTTCTAGTTCTGTTCTAGTTCTGTTCTAGTTCTGTTCTAGTTCTGTTCTAGTTCTGTTCTAGTTCTGTTCTAGTTCTGTTCTAGTTCTGTTCTAGTTCTGTTCTAGTTCTGTTCTAGTTCTGTTCTAGTTCTGTTCTAGTTCTGTTCTAGTTCTGTTCTAGTTCTGTTCTAGTTCTGTTCTAGTTCTGTTCTAGTTCTGTTCTAGTTCTGTTCTAGTTCTGTTCTAGTTCTGTTCTAGTTCTGTTCTAGTTCTGTTCTAGTTCTGTTTAGTTCTGTTTAGTTCTGTTCTAGTTCTGTTCTAGTTCTGTTCTAGTTCTGTTCT